TTTCCAAGCATGTTATCCTCCAGGGACTGGTCCCTCCTGATAATATGTTCAAAGTACAAGAGATGAAGTGTCACCATTCTCAAGCACTCTGGCTGTACTTTTCCCAACACAGCTTTGTTTTTTCTTCTGGCAGTCCATGGTACTGTCAATATTCCTCTCCAACCATAATTCAGATGCATCAGTTCTTCTTCAGTCCCTCTAATTCATTGTCCAGCTTTCACATTCATATGAGGTGATTGAAAATACCTTGGCTTCAGTCAGGTGCACCTTAGATCTCACACTGACATCTTTGCTCTTGAACTCATGATAGAGGTATTTTGCAGCAGATTTGCCTAATGTAATATTGTTTGGTTTCTTGTCTGCTGCTTCCAAGAGCATTTCTTGTGGAGCCAAACAAATGGAAGTCTTTGACAACTTTAATCTGTTCTTTACTTGTTTTTGTTGTTAGGTATCATAGAGTCAGTTCTGACTCATAGCGACCCTGTGCACAACAGAATGAAACACTGCCCAGTCATGTGCCATCCTCACAATTTTTGTTACATTTGAGCCCATCTAGTTGGGGATTTTCCTCTTTTTCACTGAACTTCCACTTTACCAAGTAATGACATCCTTCTCCAAGTAAACACAAGTAAACGTCTTTCTGATTCTCTTTGCTTTCAGCCAAGATCCATCTGATGTCAGCAGTGATGTCCCTTGTTCCATTACCTTTTATGAATCCAGCTTGAATTTCTGGAGTTCCTTGTAGATGTACTGTTACACCATTTTAAAATTATCTTCAGCAAAATTTTACTTGCATGTAATATTAATATTGTTCAATGATTTCCACCTTCTGTTGGGTTGCCTTTCTTTGGAATGGGCACTAATACGGATCTCTTCTAATTGGTTGGCCAGATAGCTGTCCTTCAAATTTCTTGACATAGATACATGAGCACTCCCAGTGCTGCATCAGCTTGTTGGAACATTTAAATTTGTATACCATCAATTTCTGGACCCCACTGCCTTCAGTGCAACTTAGATTGTTGTTGCTGTTGTTGTTAAGTGCTGTTGAGTCAGTTCTGATCCTTAGCGACGCTGTATAGGGTTTCCAAGGAATGGCTGATGAGCTTGAACTTGTAGTTCAAGCCAACTTTGCAGTCTAGTGCGTTTACCCACAGTTTCCTTCAATGCCATTGGTTCTTGATCGTATGGCACCTCTTGAAATGACTGTGTATCCCTTCTATCTTCTTTTGAAGTTTCCAGTGTCATTCAATGTTTTTTCCATTGTTGGTGTTAAGTGCTGTCAAGTTGGTTCTGACTCATAGTGACCCTGTCTAGGATTTTCAAGGAGCAGCTGGTGGATTTGACCTGCCAGCCTTGCAGTTCACACCGACCTTGAGTCCAGTGCATTAACCTGTAGCGCCAGACTCCTTCAGTATTGCAACTAGAGGCTTGAATTTTTTCTTCAGTTCTTTCAGATTGAGAAATGCTGAGTATATTCTTCCCTTTTGGTGTTATAACTCCAAGTCTTTGCAGCATTTTATTATAAGGTTTGATTTTTGTCATCTCAAGCTGTTCTTTGAAATTTAATTTTTAGCACTTTCTCACGTCATCATTTGATCCAGTTGCTTTAGCTTGTCTATGCTCAAGAGCAAGTTTTATAGACTCTTCTGATCTCCACTTTGTTCTTTTCTATTTGACCTTTTCTTTTTTTACATTTTTATTGTGAATTTAGTGACTAGTTTACATACACTCACTGTTTCATTGCATCCTTGCAATGCAATTGCAATTGCAATGATTACAGTCTCTTCTGTGCATCATCATTCAACAATATTTGCTTTTATTCTCTCTGGTTTTTTTTTTTTTTTTTTTTTTTTTTGTTATTGTTTTTGATGTACACAAAAACACGCAGGAATATATAATCGTTTAAACAATCTAAGGGCACATTCTGCAAGTCTACCCTCTGGCCACCAGCACCTGGCAGCCAGCACACAGCCTTTCTCTTTCCGTGAATCTAGAGTCCTCAGCTGCTCTCTCTCTCTCCATGCCCTCATATCTGTGTCCATCTCTGAGGCTGCTGCTTCTCTTTGACCCGTCTTTATAATGAACTTTTGTTTTCTTCATGTGTGATATTCTTGATGTCATTCCACAACTTGTCTAGTCTTTAGTCATTAGTGTCTAATACATCAAATGTGTTCATAAGATGATTTCTGAATTCAGGTGGGATATACTTGAGGTCATGTTTTGTTTTTATTGACTTTAAATTTTTCTTCAGCTTCAGCCTAAAGTTAAATGTGAGCAATTAATGATCTGTTCCACAGTCATCTCCTGGCCTTGTTTTGGCTGCCAGTATTAAGCTTCTCCACCTTCGTTTCCTACAGATGTAGTCAATTTGATTCCTGTGTATTCCATCTGGTGAAGTCCATCTGTACAGTTGCCTTTTATGTTGTTGAAATAAGGTATTTGCAATGAACAAGTCATTGGTCTTGCAAAATTCTATTATGTAATCTCCATCATCGTTTCTGTCACCAAAGGCCATATTTTCCAACTACTGATGCTTCCTCTTTGTCTCCAACCTTTGCATTCCAGTCACCAGTAATTGTCAATACGTCTTGATTGCATGTTTGATCAATTTCAGACTGAAAAAGTTGTAGGATTTTTCAATTTCATCCTCACCAACTCTAGTAGTTGGTGAGTATATTTTAATAATAGAGGTCATTCCCAGCATAAAACCATATGACGGTCTGATTCAAAATGGGCAATGTCAGTCCATTTCAATTCACTAGTCCCTACGATCTAGCACTCGTGTGCCACTTTGTAGTTCTGTGGTGTCTTGTGCATTGCTGTAATGATGGAAACTTATGCCACTGGTATTTCCATTACCAGTAGGGTCCTCCCTGGAGTCCCGGTGTGGCACTGCAGGATAATGTACTGGACTGCAAGGTGGGTTTGAGCCACAAGGTCAGCAGTTCAAACTCACCAGCCGCTCCTTGGAAACCCAATGTGGGATCGCTGTAAGTCACAACATACTTGACAGTACTTAACAACAACAACAAGGATCATTCAAGGTGTACAGATTTCAGGAGAGCTTCCAGACTAAGATAGACTAGAAATAAGGAGAGGTGGACAACTTCTGAATGCTTAGCCACTGAAAACCTTATGAATAGCAGTAGAACATTGCCAGATAGAGTGCCAGAAGCAGCAGCAGTGGACTTAACAATTGTGAGGATGCCCCATGACCAGGCAGTGTTTCGTTCTGTTCTGCGTAGGGTTTGCTATGAATCAGAACCAACTCAAAGACACCTGACAACAACAACAACAGCAACAATGCCTAGGAGGTAGGTCTTTATGTGCTCCATTTCATTTTTGAGAGCTCCTAATTTTCCTATATACTTTGTACGTTCCATGTTTTGTTTATTAATGGGTGTTTGAAGCTGTTTCTTGTCATTTTGAGTTATGCCCCATCAGCAAATGCAAGTCCTGAAAGCCAAACTTCACCCATGTCACTAATGTCAACTCTACTTTGAGGAAGCAGCTCTTCCCCAGTCATATTCTGAGTGCCTTCTGACATGAGGAACTCATCTTCCAACACTCTATCTGGCAATGCTCTGCTGCTATTAATAAGGTTTTCAGTGGCCAAACATTCAGAAGTAATCAGTCTCTCTTTCTTCCCAATCTGTCTCAATCTGGAAACTCCATTGGCACCTGTCCACTATGGGTGACCCTGCTTGTATTTAAAATACTGTTAACTCCAGCTTCAGAGCACTACACAACAAAACTGACATATGACTGGTGGCTTCAGAGGTAATTAGCCTTAAAAATACCCTTTCATCAAAAGCTAGAAAAGAAACTAAGAAAATGTACCCTGTGAAGGGCATCTTAAGAATGTGTATAGTGTTCAGTCCCTCTTTAGAAATTTGGAGAGCTTGACTTTCCAGAATGGCAGCCAACTAGCTATTCTCAACCACCAGTGAAGGCTCGCACAAGAAGCAGGTCTTCTGAGGAGGATGCCCCAGTTCTCCAAGAGCACCACACAATGGGGCAGCTCGCAGGATGCTTGGGCTGCAGAGGAGGCCACAGAGGGCCAGCCATCCTTCAGCCAGGTTGGGCACCATGCTCTCCTAGGTTTGTCCAACCTTCAAGCTGCAATCTGTTCCGTCCCTGGTGGAAAATTGGGACACCCAAGAGGTTTGATGTTCTCATCTGACCTTTTCACTTCCCCAAGCAGATGGCCCAGAGTATTTTCTTTGGCTTCCTTGTTGCACTTGAGAGCAAATGTTCATTCTTAGATATTTCAGTTTAAGCATGGGGTGGAGGGATGACGTTTATTTATAAAGGAATATTTTGGTACTGACCTGACTTGATACTAATTGAGCAACTTCAAGGATTCTTGTCATTAAATGAACATAGATGTATGTCTAAAAAAATGTAGCAAAGACAGTTTAAAATAACCCAAACTGTAAATGGCATTAGCTTACATGAGATGCAATGATATTTGTGCTTCATTTGAAATATGGCTTTGTGTTGTTTATGTACGAAGAGGCACCGAAATTTCACCTTTATGTTCATAAACACAGGATATGTGCTGGGGAGATGTCTGAGGAAGCATGTACTCTGGAAGCAGATCAGAGCAAGATTTTTGTGGGATGGAAGACTTTTGTTGTTAGTTGTTGAGTCAGCTCTAATTCATCATGGTGCTGTGTGCAACAGAAGAAATCCACTATGTGTTTAGAGAACTTTACAACCTAGAGGGGTCATCTTCCAATATTCTATCATGATTAATAAGGTTGTCATTGGCTACTTTGTGGAAGACACACCAGTCCCTTTTCCCTAGTCTGTCTTAGACTGGAAGTTCTTCTGAAGCCTGCCCACCTTGGCTGACACTGTTGGTATATGAAAGATTGGCAGCATAACTTCCAGTATTATAGCAACATGCAAGCCACCACGTATCACAACAAACTTACAAACAGGTAGTGGAGCTGAGTGTGCTATTAATTGGTGATATCCTGCTTCTTGTTTTACAGATTGGAAACCTGGAAAATTACTACCATTTCTATCACAGCAAGACATTTAAAAGATCAACCTTAAACAGCAGAGGCCCCCATACTTTCCTCAGGATGGACCCACAGGTATAGACCTCTGCTTCTGGAAAGGGGGCTTCCCTAAACATAGAGTGTTGTTGATTTGCTTCTGTGATTCTAAAAATGGATTTCAACATGACTGTACACTCACCAGCTTTCCAAGTCAACTCTGAATAAATAAAGTAAGACAGATGTGGGCCATCTCCAAATTGTGGGATGTATTTTCAGACTTGAGAATTAAAATTCTTGACTTCAGTTTGAAGCAACTATCAAGTGAGTACTAGATCTACTGATACTTTAAATATATTTTTTTAATTAACAAAATACTCAATGCTATCTAGAGGATAAGTATATGAATCCTACCCCTATAGGCACAAAAACACAAGGCAAGTGAGTTTTTAAATAATGGAAATAGTGATTGGGCAGATGGATGTTTTTGTGGTTGTCATACACATACCTTAAAAATCAACAGTCATCGAGTCAATTCCGAGCCATTGTGACCCTGTGTTGGGTTTCTGGGACTATAAATCTTTATGGGATCAGAAAGCCCCATCTTTCTACTGTGGAGCAACTGGTGTATTAGAATCACTGACCTGCAGTTAGCAGTTGAGTGCTTATCCTACACTGCCACAGCAAATAAAACTTAATTTCCCCTTAAATTTCATATGATCATTGAGATTAAAATAAATTTAATTTGAAAAGAAGCTAACTTTTTTTTTTTATAATTCATATTTAAAACTAATTGCTGTTGCATTGAGTTCAGTTCTTGGTAACCCCATGTGTGTCAAATTAGAGCTGTGCTTCCTAGGATGAAATTTTGAAAGTATATCGCCAGGTCTTCCTTCCAAAGTGCCTCTGAGTGGATGTGAACCTTTAACCTTTTGTGGTTAACAGCTGAGCACATTATTGTTGCACCTCCCACAAGCTCTAGTTCATTTTTTTTTTAAGTTTTTGTTGTGAATTGAGTGATAGTTTATATGGGAGAACATTGGTTTTACACTCATCGTTTCATTGCAATGATTACAATCTACTCTGCATCATCATTCAACAGTATTTGCTTCTATTCCCTCTGTGTTTTTGTTTTTTGTTTTTTTGTTTAATTTAAGGTTTTTATTGTGGATTGAGTGAAAGTTTGCAGGGCACATCATCAGTTTCACATTCAACAATTCATATAACTTGTTTCATTACATTGATTATAATCCCCTCCATATACCATCAGTTAAAAGTATTTCTCTTTATCCACTTTAGCTTTTTTTTTAAAAAACACACAAACAAAAAAACCCCACTCAGGCATATATAATAAATTACATCTCCAAAGGGCGCATTCTGCAAGTCTGCTCCTGGCCACCAGTTCTTAGTCCTTCTCTTCTTAGTTGATGAATCTAGAGTCCTCCATGCCCCCATCTCTACCTCCATCTCTGGTGCTGCTGCTTCTCTGGATAAGGTCCCACATTCTATTTGTGTGTTCCTCTCTTGATGGTCCTAGGGTCCTCTGTTTCTGGACTGTAAGATTAATCACTCCCCTTTTTTTTGTTACAAAACTTCTACCTTTACAATTGTGACAGTCGCGATTAGTCATGAAAACAGTTATTCACTACTGAATCTTATGAATCTTATCCCCATCTCCTTTCACCAGACCCATCTAGACAAGATGATAACTATTCAGTGGGTTGATTTTGTTTTTTGAGATGTACACAAAAACACTCAGGAATCTATAATCATTTAAACAACCGAAGAGCACATTCTGCAAGCCTGCCTCCTGGCCACCAACACACAGCCTTTCTCTTTCCATGAGTCTAGAGCCCTCAGCTGTTCTTCCATGTCTCCATCGCTGCCTCCATCTCAGGTGTCACTGCTTCTCTGGCTAGGGTCCATTCATGCTCTTCTCCCTTGATGGTCTCCAGTTCATATTTATTGGGTGGTTATTATACTTCCTTTTTGCAGAGTTTTGAGATTAATATTTGGTAAATATCAGTCAATGGATACTTGATACAATTAAAAATGTACAATTATCCAGAGAGCCTTTGATGAGTTAGTTCGACAAGTGTTTCTACAATACATACTATGAACCTTATCTGTCAATTTGCCATACTGGGGTGGTTTGTGTGTTGCTATGATGCTGGAAGCTATGCCACTGGTATTTTAAATTCTAGTAGGATCATCCATGGTGGCCAGGTTTCAGCAGAGCTTCCAGAAAAGACAGACTAGGAAGGAGAGTTGAACCACTTCTGAATGTTAGTCACTTAAAATCATATGAATAGCAGTATAACATTGTCAGATATAGTGCCAGAAGAAGAAAACATTATGACTAGGTAGCATATAATGAAGACTCAGTGATACTGAAGGAAAAAGTCCAGGGTGCACTGAAAGCATTGACAAAGAACAAGGCTCCAGGAATCGATGGATATAAATTAAAATATTTTAACAAACCGATGCTGTAGCAGGAAAACACTCACTCGTCTGTGCCAAGAAATCTGGAAGAACAGGCTGACTAAATGGAAGAGATCCTTATCTGTGCCCATTCCAAAGAGAGGGGATCTAATGGAAAGAGGCAGTCATCAAACAATATCATTTTTTTTTTTTTAATTTAAGGTTTTTATTGTGGATTGAGTGAATGAAAGTTTACAGGGCACATCATCAGTTTCACATTCAACAATTCACATAACTTGTTTCATTACATTGATTATAATCCCCTCCATATACCATCAGTTAAAAGTATTTCTCTTTATCCACTTTAGCTTTTTTTTTTTTTTAAAGACACACAAACAAAAAACCCCACTCAGGCATATATAATAAATTACATCTCCAAAGGGCACATTCTGCAAGTCTGCTCCTGGCCACCAGTTCTTAGTCCTTCTCTTCTTAGTTGATGAATCTAGAGTCCTCCATGCCCCCATCTCTACCTCCATCTCTGGTGCTGCTGCTTCTCTGGATAAGGTCCCACATTCTATTTGTGTGTTCCTCTCTTGATGGTCCTAGGGTCCTCTGTTTCTGGACTGTAAGATTAATCACTCCCCTTTTTTTTTTTTTTTTTGACGATTGCAAATCAGTAACATCTATTAACTCCCCCTTCCCCACGCCCGACAAGCAAAACAGCTGAATGTCTCTGGGGTTTATCCAGTTCCCCAAGGATTAAACAGTTCTTAAAGTCTTCTCTGCTGTGGCTGGCTCGCTGGTACTCTTGCCGGGGGGACCTCAATGGAAATGCAGATGGCATCCCTCTTTCAGGTGGGTCTTCGGTGGATGCTGGGTCCCTCAGGCACGCTCGCTCCAACGATGGAGAAGTGGCTGTCCGCTCGCTATAAGGTCGAATCAGTCAGGCTGGGATCCATACTGGAGAGCTTTTGACCTGTAACACAGACTAGAACTCCTGCCCCCTTGGTTAGTCATGTAATAAAGATATGTTCCCGCATCCTAACATGGTACCACCCCCATTCCAATCATGACTCGGTCCCTGTCTCTCAGAGCCCTGCTGTCAAACAATATCATTAATATCACATGCAAGTAAAACTTTGCTAAAGATAACTCAAAAGCGACTGCAATAGTACACCAACTGGGAACTGCCAGTGGTTCAAGCTGGATTCACCTGATGACGTGGAACAAGGGATGTCATTGCTGATGTCAGATGGATCTTGACTAAAAGCAGAGAATACCAGAAAGATGTTTACCTGTGCTTTGTTGACAGCAAAGGCTTTCAACTGTGTGAATCTATGGATAACATTGCAAAGAATGTTAATTCCAGAACACTTAATTGGAGTAATCAGGAGCCTGTATATAAGCCAAGAGTAATTGGTTTGAACAGAATAAGGGACACTGAATAGTTTAAAATCAGGAAAAGTGTGCACCAGTGTTGTGTCCTTTCACCATGCTTATTTAATCTGTATACTGAGCAAATGATCTAGTAGGCTGGATTATATGAAGAACGCATAGCATCAGGATTAGAGGAAGACTCATTAACAACCTGCAATGTTCAGATGATATAATTTTGCTAGCTTAGTATAGCACTGTGGGTTAATGCGCTGGACTGCAAAATCACTTTGAACCGCAAGGTCAGAGGTTCAAATTCACCAGCTGCTACTCAGAAACCTTATACAGGGTTGCTATGGGTCGAAGAATCGACTCAATGGCACTTAACAACAACAAACAGAGGAAAGATTGAAGTTGTCAAAAACTTCATTTTTCTTTTATCCACTGTCAACACTCATGGAAGCAGCTGTCAAGAAATCAAGTGATGCACTGCATTAGGCAAATCTGTTGCACCAGACCTTTTCAAAGTGTTGAAGAGGAAAGGTGTCAGTTTGAGGACTAAGGTGCACGTGACCCAGGACATGGTGTCTTCATTCACCTCATAAGCATGTGAAAGTTGGACAGTGAATAAGGAAGACAGTAGAAAAATTGATGCATTTGAGTTATGGTGTTGGAGAAAAATATTAAAATTCCATTGACTGCCAGAAGAACAAACCAATCTGTGTCGGAAGAAGTACAACCAGAATGCCCCTTAGAAGCCTTTGTCCCTCATACTTTGGACATATTATCAGGAGGGACCAGTCCCCTAGAGAAAGGATATCATGCTTGGTAAAATGGAGGGTCAGTGAAAAACAGGAAAATCTCGAGAAGATGGGTTGGCACAGTGGCTGCAGCAATGGGCTCAAGTGTAACGACAACTGTGAGGTGGTCCAGGGCTGGTCAGTGTTGTGTTCTGTTGTGCATAGGGTCGCACAAGTCCGAGATCCTCGACAGCACCTTGCAACAGTAACAACACATGCATCCAGCTCTGTCCTCAGCCGTCACTGCTTGCCTGTAGCCTCTGTGCCCAGGGACTGTCAGTGAAACGATATGTAGCCAACTGTGTAGTATATCCCAAGGTGACTAGAGCTATGAGGGAAATTAAGTCTACCCCCGCCCCCAAACAAATAGTAACAGCCCCAACAAAGAAATGGGGCTATTGGTAAATTATAGTCTTAGAACATAGAAACTATCTTCTTTTAAAAGTAATTTGCTAAATGTTAATTCATGTCCCCAAACTTGCACACAATACTATTTCAGAT